GGATTATATCGTTACCCCCCTTGAATAATATTCTTTCCGACCCTGTAGATATTGTTTTGAAATACTCGACTGAATACTTGGTTAGATATCACTAGTTGTTATTTTATTAACTTAGTTATTATATATTTTTGCATAATTATGACGGACACTAACAACAAAATATATGGTTATATAGGTCATCCTTGTTCCTTCACCTTTGTATCTGGATACATATTTTAATAGTGGGTGTTCTATTTTGAATGAATTTCTCGAATTATACATTATTTAAGCTTCATAGTGTATGTAAATGATCGGAAGATATTTCAGGGTATCTGATGCAATTTTTGAAGTGAAAATAGAATTTCTCAGGTGAGTTTTGAATTTTTTGTTTTTGGAAGAGGACCTCAAACTTGAAAAGTGAAGTTGTATTGTAAAATAATCGTTATTCAAAAACTACTAAGAGCCAACACTTGATTGTCATATTGTTGATGAAGGGGAGTTAGAAGTACATTTTGGTTAAAAGACAAAGTCTTTATGTCTTTTTGGTCAAGAGTTATTAGCATTTTATAGTGAAAGAAATGAAACATTTATAACTCACAAACAATCCTGGAAAAAAAAGACCAAAGTTTGTTGAATAACCAACATTCGCTGATAAAAATGGTTACATCAATTTCGGAGTTTCTGGCTATCATGGCTGAGCATTGATAGTCAAAAGGTTATTTTGTTAAATTTCATGAAAGAACTAAATTTATCTGTTTGTCTAAATCGAATTCATGTTTTTCTTTTCTCATCACTAGAAATAAATTTGTTATTATAAAAATAATGTTACTTATAAATATGTAATATTCTCTAGACAATAAACGAAAGAAATCATCTATCAAAAACAAGAAAATTCCTTGTCGACATTCGTTATTTCAATCTATATTTTGTTTTTCTATTTGTCGGTTGAGAAGTAGTTATTGCTTTCTTGAATGGATATTCTTTTCAAATAACTAAAGTTACCGGTAAGGTAAACATTTTCAAGATTACACATTTTCGAAGAAAAAACAGAAATTCATTTTGTAGCATTTTCAAACTAGTATCAATTTTGTAACAATCTCATCTTGTTAAATACTTGTGAAACATGATGAATTTGAATCATCTAGATTGAATATATATTTATGAATTTGCAAAACAGATGTTTTAGGATGTAGAATATCTCATTTTTTTAGATGATAGATATGCCATGTGACAGTTAGAAAGCAATGACCGACTTTGATAAATGGATTTAAATGATTCACATTCGAAATTACTGGGTTAAGCTGATTTCGGTCTTCTGATATAAAGTTTTACTTCAAAGTAAAAACGGGAACCATATTTTTATCAATATCGATATTTGCATATTTGCTTTCATCAAAGGGAAAAACAATGTTATAACCATCTGCTTATGTAGAACTTCTTTTTATACATTCACGATTTTTTTTATTTTCAAACCATCTGTGTTTACTTATTTGTCTGGCAATCTTTTAATAAAAAAAACTTAGAAGTTCAGAAAAAGCTCTATATATCGCTTATTTTACCTCCTATTTAAATCTCATATATACAATAACAACAATATAATGAATAAAAAAAGTATTATTACTTGTACTGTTTTTATGATTTTCCATATAACGTTAAGTCAAGGTATAAAACATAAAAATGAATGAATATGACTTTTTGTCTTATGTTTAAAGGTCTTGAATGTTATCAACATAATTATTGTCTTGGTAACTGCCCAGAATTATCAAATAGTACTGTTGAATGTGCAAAAGACGAAAGTCGATGCTGGGTAAATATTTCGAAAATCAAACTGTTTTTTTGTAGTATAAAAATTTATTTTTAGAAAATAACTTCTCCATTGGGAACAATGCGTGGTTGTGGTATGTCTTTGATAGTTTTTTGAAAAATTATTTTATGTTTGATCTTTTTTTAAGGAAAGCATCGATGTGAAGTACAAATTAATGTTGGTATTTTTGACACTGCTAATGTCTGTTGTTTTGACAACCTTTGTAATTCATCTGTTCAAATTAAACTAACAACGGCGTCTATTTTCTTGACAAGTCTAATTACTTTTATTTATACATGGTGTTTTAAATAATAAATACACTTCTGTTGTACATCTAATGGATGACCCATCAACAATGGAACACTTCGATTTTCTGCTTTTTGAAGACAGAAACACAGTTTAAAGATGTTATTCTAAACTTCTTTGATAGAGAGTTTTCCGCTCTACAAAAACTGTTAACTTGATTCTTCAAATAGATATCTTCTGTCGCAGAAAAATCGAAAAGATTGATAGTCACTCAGCCATTGAATTGCTACTGCCAAAAAACAGAACAATTATTAAAGATATGTTTAAATAACAGTTCCGTCGAAATTCGAAATATACTGCAAGATACTCTGCGAAGCGCTGCATTTCGTGATGTTTCGCAATTTAAAAAAAAAACAATTGGAAGAACAATTTTTCAAGCGAAAATTACAAAACGATGCAGAAAATTCTTTTTGACAATTGTATGCCATTGTTTTGTTATTAATTCGGTACAATCTAAAGACTTTCGTTGTTCGGTTTAAATGATACATCATTTTGTTCAGAATTCAATTCTGCATCCAATAACATAATCATAAATCATTCATAGAACACAATACCTTTTCAAAACACGAGTTTTGAAAGCGCACGTTCAACAAGATACTACTATGTATTAGTTTCAAGTCGTTTGCAGTTAACCAGCATCATTAGAAGTCTCGAGAAGATCTTGGAAATATAGAGCATAAAATTTTCTGTCTATTGATGCTAAATAGTTTACATTTAGCATCGAACCTAATGAGCACAAACTTGCACAAATCGTTAGATGTTTACAGAAAATAGCAGGAGATCGCAGTTAGTCAATGAAGCAGCGGTCAATATTTTCAACTTTTCGTTGACAAGAAAAACTTGTTTAAAAGATGAAGTCTACATTTTTTTGTAGAACAAAAAATTTTCTACCGAATAAACTGAGAATGGCCCCCTTAAACGATGTTCCTGTTCTTCAAATACGAAAAATCAAATTGTCTCATTATTTATGAATCACCTGTTATATCTTTATCTTTTTTTTTACAGATCATTGTTGGAATAAGATAAATCTCTTTTAAAAAAAAGAGTTTATTTCTACAATTCAGATGAATTTTATTTTAATCTATCTTTTATCAAAATAAGATCTTTCTCGGATCTATTTTATATATTGAATGATTGTACGACAAATAATCGCGTTCTTATGAACTGTAGGTGTCTTGTCATCAAAGATATTCAACAAGTTCGTTCTGTACTTGCTTATGAATAGACTATAGTTCCAATTAAAGTAAAGAACAGATATAAACTCATGTTCATTTGTATTGTCAACATCCAGCACTGAATTTTGTTTCTCTTCTTTGTTTTATTTCGATTATGCCATGTTCAATATTAATTTAACATCATCATTCTATTTCTTCTTAGTAATGGTTTTTATTCATAGAGCGACAGACAAGTACAAAAGACCTTACTATTGCTTTTCTTCATTGACAAATTAATAGAAATGGTAGGCACCCACACGAAAGATGGAGGAGAGAAAGAAGAACATCAAGAGATAAAATCTCTCTTCCTCTCTTTTGCTTTCGTTTTTTCTATCTATATTGAACAAAATATAAAAACGAGAGTATATTAATTGTTCGAATATATACACACACACACGCAATAACTGCCAACAAAAGCTACGGTTTTTTTCATTGCTCATATCAAAAAAGTAGAAAACATGAAATTAATCATTATTATTGTTATTTTACTTCTTGGTTGTGTTGCTCTTAATGAAGGTGAAATTCAATTATCTTTTGTTTTTTTTTTCGATAATAAAATGTGTTCTTTTTTTGTAGCACTTCAATGCTATTCGCATGATTTATGTTCAATTAATTGTCCACAGTTGAGCTATACCATAAAGTCTTGTACTGATAATGATAATAGATGTTACACAGCTACATTTCTTGGTGGTATTGCCCGTGGTTGTGCTAAAGAACGATGTAATGTTCAAGTAAGTTCTTTTGTTTTTCTATTTATATCAAATACATATAATCATTATTTTGTTAATTAGATCAATGCTAATTCAGTTACGGCTAATGTCTGTTGTGAAACAGATTTGTGCAATTCAGCAACAACATCAAAACTAACATTAAGCATACTCTTTATGATTCTTGGTGCCTTGATTTTGCCTCGAATATAAAAACAGAAAGAAAACAATAGACGGTTAACTTTGAACCATATAAGATATTCTTGTTCTTTTTATTCTAGCATAATTCATTCTATCTTCTTTTTTTGTTTTTTTTTAATTTGACAAATTTTGTCTTGTATTTGTGTCTTTTATAAGATAATAATCGTTTTGATGCATATGCTCTTACTAATTGTTCGAGAATAATTTATGATCTCAAATGAAGCAACATTTGTATGATATAGCAAAGCATTGTTTTACCAATCATCATTTAAATTTTAAAAAAATCTAAAACTTAGCTTTTAAATAATTGAAAAATGATAACATTTTTTTTCTTTAGTCATTATAATTCTGTATCATCGAGATAGAAATTAGACTAACGAAGAAACCTCTTCAACTGATACTCTCTGTTTGACCTACTATTTTACTTACAAGTAGGACTCATAGTTTAGCGAATATTACAAAAAATACCCGCAACAATGAATTTTTGTCTGAAATCTTCCTCAGTAGTAGAGCTCATTGTAGATATTAGATCCAGAAAGTTGCAAACAAACATTGGTTTCTCACAGAAGATCTCACAGCACCTATTTTTCAGGTATGCCATATCTTAAGAAAAACTCATTGGTGACAACTGAAACTTTCAGGATATAATAAGTTTGATGCGATATGTTATTAAGGAAAATTTTAGACGACAATTCTTTATTGAGATATTTTCGTAGTATCCCAAAATATGCTGAAAATTCAGTAAAATGATCATAACTCGAAAAGAAAGGCACTAGGGCACAAATACTTTTAGGATTTTCATCTAAATTATGAATCCTACTTATCATCGAAATATGAGCTAAAATAAAATATATCAATTGGATAGATTACCTCGTAAGGGCGAAATTCATGATCGGTAAGAGTTTTGTATTTAAGACTAGTAACATACAATACATATAAGTGAATAAACTTAAAGTAGTAATATCAAATTGATGAATTTATTCTATTGAATCTCGACAAAAAAAAAGAGGACGTCGAGAAAGAAAAGTACTTTTTCTTTGCATTTCTTTCCAGCTAAACTAGCATAACGAGAACGATTAGAATAACACTTTAGCTGCAGATGTATTTCATACAACAAGACAAAAAAGTAAAAGTTTAATGTTAGTTCTGATAACAATTATAAATTTCTTCTAGTTGATGGCTATTGTGTAATCGCTTAACGTATGTTTATTTTATATTGTATGTAATAAAGAAAAAAACAGACAGACTAGATTTCAAATACAGTCAATTCAATTGTTGATCTATTGACAAAGAATAGAAATATGGTTGTTATCATAAACAGTAATAGTTTATTTAGGAGAAAAAGAACAACAAATATTCGAAACATATCTGCTGTTTCTTAAACACACTTAAAACCTTTAAATAATGCTTTCGAATTAATGATAGTAAAAATGTTGAATAAAAAGAAAAATAAATATTCTTTCGAAATTTCTGTTATAATTTGGATGTCACAATAAAAAAAAATCCAAGATATAAAACTAATAAACAATGTTTAGTCTTGATGAATTGACTATTCATTTTGAAAATATTGTTTTCTATGCATAGATTATTGTTAAATTGAATATTATGTGTAGCAGAATAACAAAATACCTATTGAAACCTAAAAATTCTTTACTAATTCACGATTGATTTAAGTCTTAAACGTGCTGTGAGATCTCACGATTTTCATACTTCTAATAATTAGAACATATTTCATGTGGTATTTAGTTTTATAATATTACGTTTAATCAATGAATTCACGTTGACTTCGAATAATAGTCATTTTTATGCATATACTGTTTCAAGTAGACTTTTATCGTTGATTTAATACTACAAACGTTTTTACCAGAGACAATATCTTAGCCGTTCATAATACTTTCATAGCTGACTATCTCATTGAAATAGAATATTAAAATAAATAAAATCAATAGAATACAACAATATAACTTTCGATTTTTTATTCTGTATAATTCATTCGATCACGATTTACTATTTCAGAGACCCTCAATCAAAAGTATGGACGTCAAGCGATATCATAATTAGATCCTAGAAGGTATTTTACAGTACGAACTTTTAGTTTCAATTACAATAATAGAAAACGTAATTGGATCATCAACGCCGATAAACTTTATATGCAATCATTTTCAAATGGCACCTAATTTACCTCAAACTATATCAGTTACCTTTACGAAAGACCTCATCAACCAATAACTACACAAGAATTCTCTATACTTGAATTACTCATTTGAAGTATCTTATTAAAAACTATTATGTCTGAAATATGTGGTACTAATATACAAATGCATCAAGGACAGCTAGGAAGTATTTCTTACCCAATTATACCAGGTAACATCAGTTGTGAAGTCATATAGCTGACATCCTTGGTAATCAACCATTTAAAGAAGATGGTGTAGTGGCATTTTTACACGTAGCTGGAAACACGTTATTCTTGTTATTATTGTTCGATTGTAAATAATATATACAGTATACGCATCGTAAGCTAGGTGATATAATGTATAGTTATAATGACCGACAAGTATTAAGTGGTTGATTACAATATATTTGGTTAGTGCATGACACAAAACTTTTACATCTTTCAGACAATTGAGATCCTATCGGTTATCGTTATGATGGATGTAATAAAAAAAAAAAGAGAATATTCAAGGGAGAGATTGTTGCTGTTCTGCTTTTAGTCATTCTTGTTGAACAAATGAGATACAATCAAAATATCATACATAATATCCATGGACACATCTGATTGGAAAAACATTTGAGTTATCTGAAGTTAAAGAAGAAATTGAAGCTGTTTGTAGAAGAAGTATTGTTAAAGCAGCTGTAGCAGCAAATAGAAATGATTGGTTTGGGACTACTACAAACGAATATGACCGACTTCTTCACTAAATGACTTCTTCATAAAATTTTTTATATTACAATTGATTTTCTATAAAAGAAGTAAAATGAAAAAAAAAGATTTCAATAGGTTTCTCTTTTTATTTAAAGTATAAGTTATTTAAAAGGATTTATATTGGATGCTCCATATTTGTTTTATAGAGGTTTCAAATCACTTCATTCTTACAGTTAAATTTTTATTAAACATGAATCAAAAACAGAAGTTTTTAGTGTATTGATTAAATGAATGAAACTTTTCAATTATGATCGAAAGCTTGATAAAAACTAAAAATTTGCTATGTAAAGAATCTTTTTTTGATAATTTCTATCGATTAAATTCTGTAATATTTATTAATATGAGACTAAGTTTATTTTTTCGATCGTTCAACTATACCTTAGATATTTATAAAGCTTTTTGGCTGTTAAGTTAAATATACAAAATGACTTTTTTTAAATAGATCTCCTCGTTTGTTTATGTATTGAGTCATTTTATCAATATCGTTCTATGTAATAAGACTATGATTATTCTTCTTTTTTTATGACTTATAATGTACTTTAACCATTTATGTTTATATCATTGTCCATCGGACGTCTTTAGAAGTTTTTAAAAGAACAAAATTGAGCATTGAAGCAATCTAATTTAGTTGCACACATCCGCTTTTAGTCTGAGACTTTCTATTGTTGAACTAACCCAAAATGATGACGAGACTGCATAGCAATTTGAGTATGTCTTCCGTTTTGACGACATTCTATTGAGTTTGATCAATAGGCTGAGAATATGAGTTGATTTCCTTTCGTCTTGATGCAACTTAATGTATAGATATATGTCGCAATGCAAATGCGACAGTGACGGAAACTAAATACGGAAAAAGAAAGATTATCTCATCATTTTTCATTTTATTGTTGTTTTACTAATTTTAAGAATAACTAATCTACGACTATTTAATTCATTCATATCATATTTGTTAATGACCTTACAAGTGAAGCCTCATCGATGTGTATGATTACTTTTGCACCTGGTTCAATTGAACACTTGTCTATCGTTTTAAATTTCATATCGATCAACAATGATCAACCTTGAATCGAAAGTAATTTGTAAGTGTATGTGTGTGTTTTATCTGGTGTGAAAATTCATCATTGAAAAAGCACTACTAACAGTAAGCAATTAAACTTCGTCTTCTTGTACACTTATACATATATTCGCTTGGGGAAATTATGCTCAATTGTTCGTTCAACAATTAAACATATGAACCTCTGCCTTCTGTCTCATAGTATTCACTAAAAAATTTAATCGATTAGTAACGAATCAAAAAGATTATGTTAGATAGTTCACTTTGATCCAATCTTTTGGAATAAAGATTATTGTCAGGCGAGAAAGATGCCATCAATATAATTATCTTTTTTGTATTAGTGACCTTTCGAATAATGAAAGAAAAAAGAGCATTGTCCCTGAATCATCTAAGCACTATAGTCAGTTCATCATTATAGAGAAAGCAAGCGTATGATGTAATTAGAAAAAAAGATTTGCTGTTACTTCTTCTTCTTATTCTTCTTCTATTCTCAGATTACATCATTGATTCATTCATTTATTCATTTTTTTTACTCATATATGTATACTATATATTCATCCACCTCGAGATTCAATTTCACTTGAAAAGACAGGAATGAAAGTCAACGGTAAAGTAATCAGAAGATGGCACGCACGCGAGAATAAGTAACAACCGGAAGAATCTCTAAGCAGTATAGTAAGGTCAAGCTTAAAGGTTTTTTTTTCTGATAAATATACACACGGGAGAAAATTAATATTGTTGCTTCGTCGGTTAGCATCAGTCAAACTCTTTATCTGTTTATGAGCTCGTGATAATTGTGTATATGTGAAACGACCAGTCCCGTCATCTGTTCATTTCAAATATGTATACATACAACTGACCCATTGAGCCTTGAGCAAAAGGTGATAGAGAATAGGACGCGATCGATCAATACACATGAATTTGAGATAAAGAGATAAATCAAAACAAAACACACTCAATAATGTCAATTACCCTTGAACGCATTTTGTTTTTTTTTGTAGTCTCACTATTGGCCTTTGTTCAAACATACGACTT